GGGGATCGCACTTGGGACCTTGCTCTTGTGAAGCAGGTGTTGGAACAACTGAGCTAAATCCCTGGCCCTTTTCTCAATTTTTAAACACCAGCACACCAACACACGGGTCATGGTAAACTTGCTGCCTTTTACTCTGAATAAAATGGGATTTATCAAACTTGGGTCCATTAAATCCCCGGTCCCTTGGCTCAAATGTATCAGCCTCCCAAAGTACTGGGAGTATAGGTGTGCACCACCACATCTGGCTATGACTAACATTTTTGAAGGGTCCATGGCTATACCGAATGGAGAACCTCTTGAAACCGAGGCCAGGACATAGGCTAGGGAGGCAGCTGCCTCTTAGGTGAGAGAGGACGGATGATGCCTTGGGTGAGGTCCTCCAGTGTGTTCTCATCGAGATGAGATTCCTAGACCATCTTCCCTGTCCCTCAGCTTCACTTTGCTTGGTTAACTCAGGCTTGGGGTACGTCAGAGCGGCCTATTATATACATAGCTCCCCTCTTTTCTGCACAAGTTGGGGAAATTAATACATAAGACAGGGGTCTACAGTTGGAGAACAAAATATAACCTCTGTGGCTGCTCAAAGCAGGATTAAAAGACATTGTTTAGGAGAGCAGAAGTGGCACTCTTGTACGCCATGCCTTGACGCTTGAGCTGAGGCCACGGAGTGAGATACTTTTACTTAAACAGAGTGAAATGAGGACCATAATGATTAAGGCTTTCTTCTTTTTTCTTATCTCTCCCTCCTGAATGTGGGACACTGAAATGTAGGGGACTTTTTGCTTTACATTCTTCTTTTTCTCATTAGAACTGTTCTTCTTTTTAGATAATTTTGCACCCAGAGTTTCTGTCCTCCACCAGCCCTCTATTGCCCATGGATTACGAGGAGTTCGTCAGAGGTTGTCATCTTGGTGTGTTTCCATCATACTATGAACCCTGGGGCTACACTCCAGGTATGTGACAAATATCGACTGTAAAGTAGTATACTATTGGATATAACGTTAAACTTGATACGTGATTTATACTAAGATTTTGACTTTTCAGTCCATCTTAAAAATTATTTTGCTTCCTCTAGCTCGTCAATTTTATGATTTATAGATACTAAGAATAAAGACAAGACTATGTACTTATACTGCAGTGTGGTTGGCATAACTTTATGAGTATCTGATTTATTGCTTCATTACATTGCAAAGAAAATAGAATGTTTTATGAAGGTTGTGTATTATTGATCTCCACCTGACCCATCCACTAATGAGTAGATATCAGTAGAGTTAACATGAAATAGTGATCCAACAATATAGTTATCTAATACTTATTTAAGAAGGACACATTTAAAAAAAAATCAACATATGGGTTTATTTGTAATAAGTAACAGGGTTACGTGTTTAAAGAAACAAATAGCACTGCAAATGTATAGTGGAGAGTTGTCTTCACATCTCTGCTCCCCCAAAAGAGGTACGATGAAGAGGAAATGACAATTAATGGTAGGTATTATCACTAATAACCTCATTCCCTTTCAAAGCTTCTCCTCCCACCTCCCCGCTTTTGGCACCAGGAATCGAATTCAGGGCCTTGCACTTGCCAGGCAGGTGCTGTGCCACTGAACTATATTCCCAGCCCTTCCCCTTTCATTTCTAAGTGATGGTGGGTTCTCAGATCCACTATTTATTTGTCTTTTCTGGCCCGTAGTAGCACGGTTGTGATCAAGAGCAACTGATGTGTATTGATATTGAAATCACTACTTAAAAGGGAAGCAAATACTTTAAATGCATGGCAATGACAAAAAATAAAAGAATGACTTTCTGTCTCATCGATAATCAGAGATAATTTCCCTCTTTTGGATATAAATCCATTTATGACATTAGAAGAAAGGCTCAGAAAACATTTGTGTTTATAATTAAGAGAATGAATTTTGCCTTCTGCATCTCAAAGCCAACATTGATCTGACACTCCAGTAAGGGGCAGCAGAGGCCAAGGAGAGGGCATAATAGATAGCATGAAGGGAAGAAAGAAATGGGAAGTGGGACTGTCCTGTAACCCCAGCTACAGTAGACTGGGCTGGGAGAACCACCTGAGACCAGCCTGGGCAGCATAGCAAGACCCTGTCTCAAAAACAAAACGACAAAACGAAACAAGAACAAAAAGAAAGGGAATTATTTTCTAATATATGTATTCTTCCCTCAGAATTTAAAATCCTATAAAAATAGGATTCTAGAATCTTTAGGCTCTGCCTTTATTGATAAAGTCCTATTTGGTTGTTTTAGATTTCACCAATGATAATTTTCCAGCAACTGCAAAAATCTTAAAATCTTCTTGACAAAGGATCACTACTTCATGTTTTGTTTTTTTTGTTTTTTTTTTTTTTTTTTTTTTTTTTTC